TCTCATTCACCAAGAACTTTGGTACTTCGATTTCATTCCGTCGATTCCATTTTTACACGGACGGATTCAAACTTGATAACAAGGCAGGCTATTTTAAAAAATTGGATGTTCAGCTCCCCTTCTGCTTACCAGATCACGCAGTGTCCTCCAGGCAGAGATGATCACGATTGGTAAGACTCTGCGCTGGCTTGGCGGTGGTCGTAACGTCAATACCTTCACGAACAGCCAGGCCGCGAACGGTCTAAGAGTGAAAGTCTCTTAATGAGATGGCGAGGCAGTTTGAGATTAACTTGGTTTGGGTTCCTAAGTAATGTGGGGTTCCGAGGAACTATAAGTTAGACGAGCTTGTGAGACCTGGAACAACCCTGAGGACTCTACCTGGAAAGGAGGACCTGAGCATGTCTCTAAGTACCCATACGCTGAAATCTAAGCACATTAACACCCACGCTACGCAAAGCGGCAGTGGAGCGTACCAATCCCAGATGGACAAACGGAGCAACGTGTAATGCGACGAGGAAGCTTTGATTAAAGCACGAGGGACCTAATATCTTTTCGACGGACTGATATAGGTGCTGTGATAGGGATTCTGACGGAAAATGGGGGCCCTCCGACGACGAGGACGCGGAGTCCCACCTCCTGTGCTTATGTCCGACGCTGGCGAACTTCAGGAAGAGATTTCTTGGGTCTTATTTTTTCGTCTGCACTGCGGACTTACCAGATGTAAATATTAGGAATCTTAGCAGATTTATGATGAGTTTCGGCGGGTTCGAATCAGGAGCGGAAGAGGCGGCCTATGTGTCCTCTTCGAAGGGCCGTGTTTACCTAACCTAACCTAATGCTTGAGTATTTGTTCCACAAAGAAGTCTTAATTTGTTATATACGGAAAAAAGTTAAACACGGAGAACTAAGACTAAAAGAAAGAAAAGATAACGATTTAGTTACTAGTACGGCTGTGGTAGCAAATAAAATCCAAAAGTTTGTAGAACAGTTGCAGAACTGCAAGCGTCGTTACGAAGTGAAGAGTCGCTTTATTAAAGACTGTAAAGTAAAGCTTTTTGGAAAAGAACATAAAAGTGAAGAAAGTGCTTTTGTTGGAACTGCAAATGCTAAATCGATTCCCGAGCTATACGAAAATAGGCTTTGAATTGTTGACTTCTATGATACATAGTATGTGATATACAAAAATAGTTTATTTAGTACTTTTACAGAATTTCAAGAATTGAGACATACAACTGGAAATGGTTACGCCTTTTCATAGACACAGTATATCGCGATATATAACGAGGACTGCGCTATATTGTGTTCATAAACAAATGCTGCTAATCAAGTTTGTTCATAAACATTTGTTCTATCACAAAATTATTTAAGAATAACATAATCTATAACAAAGATATTTAAATTATCATGGATAGCGCAGTTAAATCCGCTGTCCTTTTTTTTTACTAGTTTTTGCAGTTTGGTTTTACATTTCTAGTGCCAATGCATATGGTAAAAGCAGATGGTTTACAAGTATGACACGAACGGTTTGCTTAAGAAAATAAAGCGTATGTGAAGAAATTTCTAAGAAAAAATGCTATATAAGTACGAGATACGAAAAAAGAATTATGTAAAGCATGTATACAAGGGATATGCATAGTTCATGCCTATGATTGTGCACCATGTCTGGGACATATTTAATTTGTTGATTCTAAAGATGATAATGACAAATACGGGTTTACGTTTTTGAAAGAGAATGCTGAAGTTGCTGATAAGCTTAAAAAGTTTTTAAACGAAGTAGAAACATTAGGAAATTTAACCCTTCCACTGGAAATTAAAAAGAATCACATAATAGTAATGAACCAATATTAAGAGATGAATGTAAAATACAAAAGCCCACGAATTTGAAGATTGCTCTAAGTTTACGAATTGTGAAGAAGATATTGATAATGATGATGCTAACTTGGAAAACGAATGGAATGAAACAATGAATAACGAGTTGAAGTCATTGGCAGAAAATCAAATATGGAATTCGATTCCATACCCAGAAAAAAAATTGTACTTTGAAGTAAAAGGGTGTAAAGATTGAAAATAATGTTACAAATAAGAAGAAATTCGAAGCCGCTCGTTTAAGAATGTGCCCAGAAGTCTGGAAACGGAAACGTTTGCTTGTGTTGTACATTGGAACACAATTGGAACTGGGTTACATATAGCAATTTAAGAAAATTTAGAAATGCTTCACTTTAGTATTCATACCCTTATTATAATCGGCGAGCGAATGGCTAGATGAGTCCAATGGACTAGGCCAATCGAATGACATTTTAATTTATGATCGGCAAATGCTTTCATTCGCCAGATCCAAAATGTTGCTATCGCAGGGCATCAGAAAACCTACCAAAAATAATGGGGTTAACACATATGTACATTGTTTTTGTTTTTGCAAAAACAATTGAATTTTCCTATTTATTATTTAGCAATGTCGAGGTTGTTGCCCATTAAATTATTTAAGTGCTCGAATTGCTTTTAGTTAGTTTTATTCACGCTTAAATTAATATTAAAGAATCAATATTTTTATACCCTGCACTTCGTGAAGGTATATTAACTTTGGTATGGAGTTTGTAACTATTAATTAAAGAGATTAAATCAACGCAGAATTTTACGCTGAGAGAATATATCTATATGTCCATACTGCAGATGACTCCTTGAAGTAGTTACAAAGTCAAAAATTAATATACCCTTCACGAAGTGCAGAGTATAAAAATTATTGTATTGGCTTACACTCCATTTGACAAATCTAATAGATTAGAGCTGTCGCGAAAAGTTTAAAATTTTAGATTCGAATATTTCCTATACTCAGATGGAAAAAGGTATGTACACAATATGTGTACAGAAATTTCTTTAGATAAAAATGTTAATAGGTACACCTTATCGAGAAACAATTAACAGTCTTGTATCTCTTGCTGTATTTTGCGTTTGCTGTAAATTTTTTCAAGTTTTATCCCAGACAGACCTAATATGTGTACAATACATCATACATATGTGTTTAATACATATTAGGTCTGTTTGGGATAAAACTTGAAAAAACTTTAAAATGAAAAAAATTCTCATTTAAAAAAAATAAACTAGGCGGAAAAATTAAAAAAACTTTTAAAAACTTTATAAATATGCAAATTTCAAAGTATTTATCAAACATAAGCAAATATTTTTTGGTTATACCAAAAACCGAAAATTTTTATTGTGGATTATGAAAGTGTGACTCTAAGAAAAAACCATTTGAGAAGCCAATTTGGTTATTTTATTTTATTTTTAATTGAAAAGTTTTGAATAAAACGATATTGTTGATAAAAAAAATTTTCAAAAATTAAACCTTTTGACATAACCAAGAAAAATATATTATGTTTTGTTTTCGCTTCGACAGCTGTAAGATTTTAAAAGTTTTTAAAACACTAAATATGAGTATTACTTTACAAAACTTGAAAAAACGTAACAATGTTTAAAGATAAATGAGAATGTCATCATTTTTGTTCAAAAAGTATTATTCCAGAAGCTTTGCATGCAAAAACTTTATAAAATTTTTAAAAATTTTTAAAAACTTTCTTATACCAGACAGATTTATTATATGTATGTACATTGAAAAGCTTGGAGTAATTGTAATTTTAAGTTGATAAATTCTGCAGCTTTTCAGCTTTTTAACAAAATTACTTTTTGGTTATAGAAATATCTAAGGTATTTTGTGAGAGAAATTGTTCAGTTTATTTTTGGACAGATTATTAAAAACTCAAAATTTTAAAAAAGATTTTAATCCAATTGCGTTAACAAGGTTCCAATTTTTCTTTAAACTGCGATACTGTACCGCTTTCCCAAAATCTTTGAATGCATGCTTCACTCATTATATTTTATTTTGGTAGAATTATGCTTAAACAAGTTGAATTTCAGGAAACTTTACATTAAGAACTTGTTTGCGGTATGAACTTTTATATTTTTTGATAACTTAAAAACAAATAAAGCAAAAGCCTTATTCTTTTACAAATTTGTTCTTTTCTGTCGAGGACGGCTGCCATTGCAATTGGATCCTGCAAAGGGTTCGGTTACATGCTGTACAACTCAAAAAGATTATTTCAAGTATTTCAAAAACTAGTCGAGATATTAGTATAAAATTTTGTAAACGTGTGTTCAATTACTTTTTCATATACAAATTTAAATTAAAATGACCGCACCGATTCGGGTAATTGTAATATAACCATAAAAGCTGATGTTAGATATTTGAAAAATTAATAAGTTTCTCTTGAATGGCTTGACCGGGATGGGTTGACAGGTTCGTATAGTTGTCTTGCAATTCCAAATGTTAATTTTAAGTGTTTGAAAAAACAATAAAGATAGTTTCATGAAATTTGGCATTCAGAGTCAAATTATAATTACGCCTGAAGTTTTTATTTAAAAGCAAATTATATCTATAAATAAGTAGTTCAACTCTCCGTTTACATCACACTATACAATCACTATCTTATATTTGTATACAAAAAATTCCCTTAGCTAAAAGAGTTAAGCAGTATACCTTCTTTAAATTTAAATTTTTATACGCATAAGAATTTTTGGAAGAGGGAAGGAGTACATAATAGATGTGTACCAGTTTTTTTATAATGTAGTTTTAAAAACGGGAGTTGTTAATTTTTTCGTATATAAAGTATGCGAAAAAATGCTATGAATTTTAAAAGCGGGTGTTTCATTTCTGTAATTTATTCCACTACAAGGTGGCAGAAATGGTGTATCCATATTATAAAAGCGAAGCGATTTAAAGACAAAATTTAACTATTAAAATAAAAAAAAATTATAATTTACATATTGTATGTAAATATAATATTGTAAGACAAATAATATTAAAAAAAATTTGTAATTAGTAATTGTCATCACATTTATTGTAATATAAACAATGATTTTTTTATTTTCATTTCAATTTTGTCTTAAAAACTTAAAACAAGTATTTCTTATGAACATTTATTATGAATTTTTATTATAAATTGCTTAATTTCTATGCCTCGTCTACATTGCGGTTTGACGTGAAATCAGCTCAAAACTCAAGCTGCGTTTTTACTATGTTAACTTAAAAGCCCAAAAACGAGGTTTAGCTGTTAAATTTCAATACAATAATAAGATTGAAGCAGCTATATGAACGTGGTGCATACAATATCATATTGTGTATCTACCTTGAATAGGTATGTATCGTATAACAAAGTATGAAATTTTAAATTTATAACTATTACTTTCATACATTCGAATGTTTTTACCTAACTTTTATGAAATGAAAAATAAAATATGAAAAAAAAATTTTGTTATCAAAATAAAAATAAAATTTTTACGAGTATCGAACTTAATTTAATTTTATTTCAGTTCAATGTTTTTGATACACTCGTTTGTTTACAAATTTTGTTTCTTTCTTGCCTACACAACTCTTTCTAAATGAAAATGGAATATTTTGGAAGCAAAATGCAGACGAAAACTAACGGAATGGAACGAGTCGAACTACTTATTGATAGATATACTTTGTTTAAAAGTAGGTATGTAGTGAAGTTTTTTTTTTACATGTTTGGGGAAATGCGTCACTAGTTCGGGTACCAGACAATCAGTAATGTTAATTTTAAATATTTTATGTATGGAAAGCCTTTGCTTCAATATTTTCAAATCATATTTCAAAAACCTGAAACAGAAACAGCCATGACTGACCAAGAAAAAAACGGTGAAGTGCATCTAAAAACCGCACACGATGAGATTTAAAAAATTTGCTATTTTCAAATGATGTTTTTCCAATTCGTTACTTGATTTTTATATGCTCATACATACAAATATGTACATATAAATGCTTTGGTGAATCTTATGGTGTTCTTACAAATAATTAAAAAAAAATAAATTTAGTTGCAATATTTTATTTTTATACACAAAAAAATTTATTTTCTATAGAACTCTATAAATTACTTTTCATACTGGTTTATTAAATCCGAAATATGTAGTCTAAATTTTTTTTTTTAATTTTATAACACACAATACATGTATCATTATTTTTTTAATTTGTTTTACATATTTTCAATTCAACAAAGCTGATTTATTTTTTCTTACATATGTATGTAGATAATTATGTATGAAGTAATGAAACTTTTTTTGTTATTAATAATTTGCCTAATATATGTAGATAGATAATGCTAAGTTAAACTTTTATAAAATACATATGTATGTATGTATAACAAAATATATAAATATAACAAATAATATTTTTTATGTTGATTTTCATTTATTTTTTTTTGAAATATTTGGCATTTTATGCTTTGGTAAATATATTTTTTGAATGTAATAATTATCAATTAATGTTTCAAGTTGTCTGATTGCACACATATATAGGTATATTTCAAAATCTGCAAATTCTTGAATTTTCACCATTTGATTCGGGTTTTTACGATATCTTATAGGCCATACGTAGAATGTATATTTGTGATTTTACTATTCATACATTTCACAAAAATGATTGAATGCATTACTTGCTGCAGATGATTATGAAAAAGAATAAGAAAAAAAATTATAAAACAGTTTTTCATAAACTATTAGAAAAAAAATGTAGATAAAATTTGGTATTTGTTCAAAAATAAAGTCGCATATTTCACACTAACTTCTCATTATTTGAACTCTTTTGTACAAAGCGGAAGTTATCTCCTTACATGAACGCTAAACTTTGCTGCACAACGGCAACTTTTGTGACATTTTTAATTTCTCCGTAGCTTCAAAAATCTTCAATCTAACTTTCTGAATAATCAGTATTATAGTATTTTAAATTACGAAAAATCTTCAAGAACCAAATACATACATATTTTTATTAACTATTTAAAAAAACCTAATAACTTCCTCCGGTCTATTTAAAATATTAACTTAATAATCTTATTATTTTCATGAATCAGTATGCATTAATTATTCAGATTGAAAACATTTTAATGAAACTTAGAATATTTTCCTAAGAATTCGTGATTGTTGTATATTCTAGATTTTCTTCAAAAAAAATTTACGGACTGAAGTCGATGTTTCAAACTTTTTAGTTTCAATATGCCGCACGAACGAGTATTCAATATATGTATATAACACTGAGAAAAATTTGATCTAAATTCGATTTTTTTTTTAAACAGAACACACTTTATATCTAATTTTCACATAAATGTATTTTCTACACCTTTCTTTTTATTTTCAATATAAATCAACAGTTTCATAAATATACCGTTTTCAAAATAGTTATACTTTTGAGCCGCTTATGAAAATAAATTACCTAATTGGAATAAAAAAAATTTCTGAACGGGCTACAGTAACTGTTTATATATTTTGCAATTAAATTCAAATGAACCTTCCACTACCAATCTTTGTTTTTCTTTCCGTAAAAAACTGTCTCTTAACACAGTTGGGTAATTTTTTTAAAAGTATCTTTATCTTTTTATTAGTTATTAGATTTTTATCTTCCTTTTTTAGGGCAATTTTAACAATTTCAATATTTGCAACTGTTAACATTGCACTGCATTTAATGTATACAGATCTGATCAGTATTTTTCATTTTCCTTTCTTTATTTATCACTTTTGCTTTAGCACTATATTTAATCTTAGTCTATTTTTAATGTTTTGCTTTGATATTCTAATTTAGTCCACAAGTACTATTTAGTAGTTATATATAAACAATACTTATATGAGTGTATATTGTAGTATCACAAAACTTCTTATGAAAAAGTTGCTAGTTACATCACGAAGTAAATGTTTATTTGCTTGTCAGTTCCAATCTTAAACTGTTGACCTGAGCAGTTATGAATATAAAATATCGTAAAAACCATTACGTACATATGTGTGCATGAGATGTTTTTTTTTCAATTGATAACTGATTTAATTTGATTATTAGAACTAAGTTTTTTTCATTTTCAACTTTTCTAATGACTATACAAATTTTTGACTAAAGCTACGTTGTATATGTATATAAAGCTAATATTTTTATATGTTTATACGTTCATATATACATATATATACATAATATATATAATATAAATATATATACAGGGTGATTGTGCTTGGATTTTTTTAAAAATTTTTTTGGTAACACGTATAAAGTACAAAATAAATACAAAGTTATAATGCTTCTTTCAAGCCTGGTAATAGCCCTTTGAAACAATGTTTGTGTGAAGCTTCTTCTTGTTCAGAAGGAAAGTTACAAACAAAGAAACTTAAGCAAGTAGAAATTTGGTAAACATTTATTAAAGTTCCTGTATTTTGGAATCCGTTGAGATATGACGTCCAGTTCTGAATAAGGATTGTACTCATTTTTTATGCCTTAAATGATGGTATATGGCATGTCACTGATTACTTATTTAAATAAATGCTCATAACTTCGGAATCATGCGGCGTAGTGTAATCTTGTTGGTGGCTTGTTTTACAGCTGATTGATTTTTTTTTATTTTCGGTCTAACAATCAATTAGATTTGAGCTACAGTTTTCAAAATAAAGCTCGTCAAAATCAGCATTTTCTTTATTTTTGGGAATTTTGTAAAAACTTGAAATAAAATTAATAATCAAATAATATGTTCAAACCTCATACTAACCCTTTCAAAAACTGTTTATTTGAAGCTTCTATTTTTGAAAATAGCTTGGGCAAGTGCCTGCACTACGAAACGGTTGAGATCTGACACCTAGTTCTGAACAAAAATTAAAAAATTTTACTTATTTTTGATGCCCTAAATGACGGTATCACCCTGTATATGTATATATTTGTACATGTCTATAGATATATATATATAAACTGTATGTATATGCAGAATCTCTTATGCATATATACATACACGACATATATATATATGTATATCCATAGATCACATATTATCCATAGATCACATATTGAATATACATATGAATACAAACTATATTACGAAAAATACGAAAATACCATATTTTAAATTTATTAACATATATATATAACTCTTTTATGTATAAATATAAGGTTTGTCTGGTATAAAACTGGAAAACACTTTAAAAAGAGAAAACAATGACGTAATTATTCAGAACAAAAGAAAATTTAATTTCAAACTAAATAAACCACACGGAAAAGTTGAAAAAACTTTTAAAAACTTTTTAAATATTTTTAAATTTGAAAAACATCAAATTTCAAAATATTTATCTAACATAAACAAGCATTTTTTGGTTATACAAAAAAAATAAAATTTTGATTTTGGATTATAAAATTGTGAAAAGCATTTGTGAATCCATTTTTTTTATTTTATTTTTAATTAAAAAATTTTGAAAAAAAAAATTATTACCCAGCATTTACACATACAAGTTACTTGCAAGCAAGTTTGTATAATATTAATTGTCAATTAGTTTTTCGAAATGTCAAATTACTTGCTATTATGACGTAGGCGTTTAGCAAGTAAATTTTTGAAAATGTCTTTGAGAAGAAAACAACTAGCAATATATATAATTGTTTATAAATTTTAGAAACCATAAGTTTGCTAAGTTTAATTTTTTCAAAACAAAATTCAAAAATTTTAAATTAAAAAAAAAAAAAATCAAAACAACAAATTTTTTTTTGTGAATTTCTCAATATGTCAAATTACTTGCTCAAGTTACTGGCAGCAAAATTTTCTTGCAAGTTGAACTGCAAGTAAACAAGCAAGTAGAAATATTTCAATGTGTTAGTAAAATTTTTGTATGTATTGCAACTTTCTTGCAAGTAACTTGTACGTGTAAATGCTGGGTTATTAAAATTTTTTTTTTAAATAAAATCTCCTCACATAACCAAGAAAAAACAATGTTTTGACAGCTTTAAGATTTTGAAAGTTTTTAAAACACTAAATTTTACTTTACAAAACTTGAAAAAACTTTCAACATTGAGAAAATTAAAACGTCTTCATTTTCTCCATTTTCTATCATTTTTGTTCAAAAAGTATTATAGGGGAGGCTTTGCAACCAAAAATTTTTCCAAGTTTTATTAAAAAACTTTCTTATAGCAGACAGACCTATTGATTACATGCTAATTTTATTAACTATAATTAGTACCTTAATAACTAAAACGTTAAAAATAATTGAGCAGAGAACTCAATGTAACAAAATATTAAGTAACTTTTAATTAAAAAAAAGCACAAAAAAAATTTAAACAAAGAAAAAAATAGCCCTGATTAATTCTGATTATTTTATTTTTTCGTAGCTATGGAATATGTGCGTGATTAAAAATTTTATGTATGTAGTTAAAATAGTAAATAATGCATACTAATTTGTTATATGTAAATAACAAAATAATTAAAAACTGTGCAAGAAACAAGGAACCTCATATAATTTTTTTAAATATAAAAATATTCCTTATCTAATTAAAAATAATTAATAATTTAAATTAAATTAAAAAGATATTTAAACATTTTCATTCTCTTTATCGCCTATGGTTTCTTAAATAAACATACAATAAACTTTCTGTCTATTACATCCAATCAATTTTTTTTATACATAGTTTCTTTAGAAAAAGCGAAGCAAAACCTATATGTATATAATATAATATAATATAATATATTGATACATACATATATTGATACATAAGTCCTTGAAAGACGATATGGACTTTCAAAAATAAAAATATAAATATTTTTAAGATTATTACGTTTTAACAAATTTTAAGTTTTCATTTACATGAAATATAATATAAATTATATTTTATTTAAATTTCTCTGTAATAACATCAAAAAAAAAAAGGCTTTTGGTGAATATAAACCTGTGTATCACCCAAATCATTAGAAATAGGTATATATGTACTTTAATATGTTTTACTTACGGAATTGGGGTAATAAAAATACTATTTCAAATAAATAAAAAAATGGCATATAAATAAATAATGGTACTTTTCGAAAAAGAGCCATTATTTCACAAAAGAATATTTTTTTCCAAAAAAAAAAGAAAAACAATCGAAACCTGCGAATCCTTATATGTTCTATAGAATTTGAACTTTGTCCTTCATAGCCTTGGTTTAAGAAATATAGGTATCATCCTTAAAGGACAATTGGTCATTAAATTTTTAGCACTGGTATGCTCTTACATGGTTAGTGACAGAAGTTCAACAGTTTGTGGAAATTATTAAATACATGCTATTTATATAAACTCAAAAATTATTTTTTTAAATGGTATTTTAAGGTAATTCAAGGAGGATGTTTTAGTTTACAAGCCATTAGTTTCATTCAAATTTAATTTTTGCTTTCATTTTTATTTTCTGTTGCCATCATAATACCCATAGGCTTTTTCTTACTCTTAAATCCTTTTTTTAAAGAAACTATGTAAATATAAATAATTGTTGTACGTGAGTTGTCTAAAATGATTTAAGATGCAAAATAAAATACATAATTTTGCATCTTAAATCGTTTCAGAGTGCAGAAACTTCTAAACGTTAGAAAGGAAGATAATATTGTATACCTATTTATGGATGTATTTGTTGTTTTCTAACTTAAAAACATTACATTAGATTGATAATCTTTTTTTAAATCATTTTGGTTCCTACTATAAAAAGATTTATCCATAAAGGTAATCTAATATGATGTATGCATTTTTAAACTATCATAACTGTATGTATATATATAAGATATACATATGTATAAGATATATATATGTATATATATATATATATATATATATATATATATATATATATATATATATATATATATATAAGAGATTACTTAAAAAATTATAAAATGGGTTTTAAGTGTAAAAATTGATATAGTTATTTTTGGTCCCTATTCATAATATTTATATCTATATTTTTATCATAATTTTGTTTTTTTTTTTGGCTTGTGTGAAGTGAAGGAGCCTAATTTTAAAATATATATCGCAAGTATTCGAAACCTTGTTTACTTTATATTCCGAAATAATTTTTGTACATAGACTTTATAAAATTAACTACTTTTTAAATAATACTTTTTAAGAAATTTTTGGCAAATTACTTTATCTAAATAATGTTTTTTTAAGATACAGAAAAACTAATTTACATAACAAAGTTAAAATATGCGTTTTGTAGGTTAAAATTTAATTTTAAATCTAAAAACAATGAAAATATACATAAGTAAATTTTTTAGCGTATTTTGGAAGAAAAATTGTATTCTAACATATGCATCTGCTATAAAATTATTAATTTTCTTGCTACTATTTATTACGTTTTAAAGTAAGTCGTATACACTTTTGTTGAAGGTAAGATAAATAACCTTCCTTGTCTTGATTATTAAAATTTTGTAAATGTTAAAAAACTGGTAAGTTAATGTAGTTATTTATTTGGACAATTTATTCAATTTCTAAGCTTCACCTGCATACTTTGTTTCAATTTTTCCTGTAAAAGCAAAATTAATATGAAACTTTAATTTAGTGTCTTAGGTTCTTTTCACATCAAAGCTAGTAAATTTAACTTATTAACTAACTTCGGACTAACTCAACAGGAAAAATTTACATAATCTAATAAACAAAGAAATGTCATTTAAATGTACTTACACTCAAAAATTAATTTAAAAGTCATTGAACAACTATAATTACATATATTGTATATATGTATGCGTATACGAAAAGAGTACATTTCATGTCAATTCGTTTTAATTAAATCTTAATAACTCATAAAAGTACAAAATGACGTTATGCGAAATAAATATAAATTTGCTGAACAAATTTCTTATTCTCAACCTAGCAGAACATTAACGCAAATTATATATATACTATGTATGCAAATAACTTTGTGTATATAATAATATTTGAATTCAACCAAAAAGAAAACATAATTAATTTTATGCTTAAGAACTAATTCGATTTTGTTTCAACAAACATAGTTTGACCAGTTTTGATATCTACAACGTTTTTATAGTTGTCACTTTCTTTTTGCATGTTTTCACTTGATGCCGGTAACATCACATTATTTTGTATCTCAAAATTATCAATCTTAACATCAAGCGATCTGTATAACACCAAGTTATTGAAAATGTCTTCATAGTCTGCACATGCATTACTTAAATCTTTGTTCAAATTGATTTCTAAATTGTTATATGATGTAAAAAAGGCAACAATTTTATTATTATTATTGAGAAAACTAAAATGAACTTGTAAGTGACTTTTTAAACCAATTTCTTCATTGCAAGAATAATCGCAATGAGGACATGAATAGTTTAATTTAGTTTTGGAAACAATATAATGGTGCTGTAAATGATTTTTGTAAATTTCAGAATTATTTGTCTCAAAAGGACAGTGAGAACATTTTTCAATTTGCATCGAGATCGAATTATTGTCCAAAATAACTTGATGTATATTTGTGTTTAAATTGTTGCCACCTCTGTTTGCCAATGCACAAGTTTGCCCTAATAATACAGAATTTTCTTGAAGTTGACATTTTAAAAGTGATTCTTCATCGATGTGGGTGATTGGCGACTTTTTTATTTTTGGATAATTTTTTCTTTTCACTACCCATATATCCGTTACTTTTTCCAAAACGGGTTGACAATATTCTTTATCTTCTTTATATTTTTTCAGAAGAATTTCTAAAAGAAATTATATCAATTAATATATTAATAATGTTATATTCGAATTTACCAGTACGATCCTGATATCCTTGACGGTGAACTGAAAAGTGAGTTAGTAAAGAAAATTCTTGCTTTGCTTTGAATGAGCAAAAATTACATTTATAGTTTGATTCGTTTTTATTTAATATCATTTGATGGCTTTTAATATGTTCGTAAAAGTCTTGCTTTGACAAGTAACGTGCGGGGCAATCCTGGCAAAATGTTAAGTTTTGAACTACATCAGGAGTTTCACTGTTATGTTCATAGGATGAAATTAAATCAACAACACACTTTCCTTCTTCTTCATTGACCTTCATTTCTTCATGATTTTCATTTTCATGATCGCCGTTATCTATTTTTGAGTTAGATTGGTTTGATAAATTATTTTTATTTATACTGCTCGTATTTTGAACTTGTATAGGTAAAATATTTTCAGCGACATCTTGTGGATGATCATCATGTGTATGTTTTGCATGAAGAAAAAGCTTCTGTTTTTTATTAAATAATAATCCACAAACTTTACATTCGTATTGTTTTGCTTTGTGCAAAGAAATGTGATAATTCATTTGAGATTTACTTTCAGACACATACGGACATTGAGGACAAAATTGTTGTTTCGACTTACTTAAATTTCCATTTGAATTCGAAACTTGAGTTGATCGTGCTGGTTCGGGTTCTAGCACCTCATCATTTTTATTTACTTCATGTAATTTAGCATATGATGTGCTCGAAGTATTGTTGACGTCGGTGTTAATATTGCTTGTGTTTTCGATAATTTCTTGTTGACTTGATAATTCCTTAATTATTTTTATAGTTTGAGATGATTTTCTTCCCGATTGGTGATTTGAATAAGGGTCTAAAGTTCGATAAACTGGTGTAATTTTGTCACTTAAACGATCAATTGTCTCGATGCGAATATCTCCGTTGTGCTTCAAACGACAATGGCGCTGTTAAATTTTAAAAATATAATTGCAATTAAAAATATATTTTTTTTTCTTTAAACAACCCATTAATACAAAAAAATATTGGACAAATATTAGAGCACAACACTATATAATATTAGTATAGATCGAAACCAAATGAAATCGAGATGAGATAGTTCTTTATCCAAACTTTATATGAAATAAGCTTATTTTTATATAAAAATTAGTGTATAATATAAAACATTAAATTATTTTGGTCAGTTTAAAAATTTTTATACACAAATATTTTATTATTTAAAAAAATTACAAATTTATAAATAAAATATTAAAATTACATAATAAAGTTTTATAAAAACATAAATACTTTAAATACTTTACATGTATAATCAGACCTAATATTGTCATTCAAAAAATACACGCGATATGTGGGGTGAATTAATTTAACAATGTCATTAATTTCAAGAGTTTTCCTTCACAACATGATAACTACATTTTTGACGAAAAAAAAGTTACATATGAATGCATTATTACTTAAAATTTTAAGCGCTCACTGATGCAAAAAAAATAAATTTTTTCACTAGGTTAAAAAAACATTCTTGAAAAACATTATAACTATTCGATTGCTCTAAAACTTTTTCTGGCAAAAATAGATATCATTCACTTCTTGAGATCATTAAATTTTTTAAAGAGGCATTGAAATATAGATATGTCATGTTATACACTTTTTAAATGAGAATGTATTTTATTTCTTTACCGTTTCGTTTCATATCCATTTCTACTTTTCACATTTATGTACATATGTATGTTGTTACTCGGTTAGATATCATGGTTTGTCATGAATTCAAGAGCATTTATTCAATTTGATTTCAAAATTAATGGAACGTATTTTGAAATAATATATTAGTGCTATTGTTCACATATTTATCATTAATAGCAGAAGACAATATTATTAAAATTTTTAAAATTGTAAAATAAGTAAAGGACATTTGAAAATGTGAAAATTAATATACATACATATTTATTAGAAAACATTGTGTCATCTTCATAAAAACAAAATTCAAATAAGAAAAACGAATAGATAAAAATATAGGTACATATGTAAATAGATGACCATTTCTATTATATAAAATATCAAATTATTTCATTTAACTGCTTCTTTTAAATCAAAAAAAGATCAACAAAAATCAAGAAAACCGGTTAAGCCGATGTGCGCCTATATTTTCTGGTGAAAGCTCCAACGAAATAAATAAAATTCGTGGATCACTCTCAATTTTTTCTGATGAAAATGAAATAAATGAAAGTTGTACGTCACCATCTTTCCAGATGAAAACGAAAATTAAATAAATAAAATGAAATGTGAATCCCCCACACCATATCTCTCTCCAAATGAAACCAAAAATCCAATAAAAGAAGTTAACCATACATTAACCAAGAATAATAGTGCTGTAGAAAACCTTATGTTTTTAGATTTTAATATTTCAAATATTCAAACACAAAATACGAAAAATATAAGAAGAGATGCAAAAACTAATAGAAACCTGCGACTAACACATCTACATGGAATAATAAAGTAATACCAGAGAGATCAAGCAAAGCTCTAAGCGATTGTCGACATAAGTGTAAAAAAAAAATATTCGTTGGAATTCAGGAAAATCTTTTTAATATTGGAATAAAAATTCCTATTCACTACGTCAAGGATATATCAGTAAACTAATAACAGTTACTAGTAAAACCCCCAGATTTACATATTTAAAAAAATCCGCTGAAAAATTGATAAAATACTGTTCAATATTACGTGGAGTTCAACAAAAACAAAGGTGTAAATATATGTAAAAAATGCTTCCTTTGTGTCTTTGGAGAAAAACCAAGGATTTATTAATTATCTTTGTCAAAAAAAGCAAAACAAAACAGTAATGACAGATAGTAGAAAAAAAGCTAATTATGAAAAAGCCATGGATTCAATGAAAAAAAATATCTGATGTGACCAGCACATAACCGACCGAAATATGTATTGTCTAGTTAAGTGAAAGTGTTACAGAATATTATAAAAATATCTGTTAAATACTTCTTTCCAATTTTTACTTCTTTCCAAAGCTTATAGTTAACATGAAAAATGTTAACTAGAAAAATGTAAATTTGGCTCTTGGTAGAGTTTCGTTTTGTGCCACCCAAATTCAAAGAAATGCTCGTCAGTTAGTTTCGGTAACAGCGAAAATTCAAATATCAAATTTCAAGAAATTCCATCAATTCGTTCCGTAGATATGGTAGAAAATGTAAAATCGGCCCCCAGATCAGTTTTGGAGCCCCGATTTTTCCAAAAAATTTATTTCCAAAGATTCACTGCCAAAGATACCTTGAATTTAAATATTAAATTTCAATGAAATCGGTTGATTATTTCTCTTTATATATGCAAAAATGAATATTTGACCCGTAGTAAACGTTAAGTTGCTGACACCTGATTTCTTCCAAAAGTTAGGAGGTTTCGCGGACAGAAGAGCGGAGTTTACATATGCCATTTCAAGTAAATCTGTTGAATATTTTCAAAATGATCAAAAATGTAAAAGAGGCCCGTTTATAAGTCAAGTTCCCGAGGCCTGAAATAAACTTACATATTAAATTTCATCAAAATCGGCTCATTCAAACTTGAGATACACGCGTGCACACACAGCCCGACAGACCGACAGGTTGCTAAAAATAGTTTTTTTATACTTCCTCACCATGAAGAAATGCGTTCCCATCAATGGTTGCAAAATTTGTTGCCATCACATACACAATGCGATCGGTAAAAAACACATATTTTCATTTTTGGTTTCATTCGCTTGTCACACAGAATTTTCATTTGTTAGATTTGACAGTTAATTTGCTCTAAAATTCAGGTGAATTGGCTAATCATAATACCAAAAATTCATGTTTGCCAAAAATTTCATTCGTTTCGCCGATCATAATAAGGGCCTACACGTAATTTCAATTACATATTGGAAGTCATTTATATGGTGTATATTTCTTTGGTATATTGTATTCCAATATACCAAAATATATTGGAAGTTTTGTTCTTTTTAATCAAAGTACATCTATTAATAAGTACATACATCACACTAATGAATAACTCACCAATCTTTGTATACAAAAAATTCCCAAAAAAAAAAAGCGAAGCGGAAAAAAAGTGTTTAAAAAAAATTATTATAATTTATATAATTTAATTTTGAGAAGACGTATAATATTAAAAAAAAATTTAAATAGTTGTGAAAAAATATTTTTTTTATAAAAAAGGGTAATCATTATTTGAAGTGTTTGGGATGAAAAAAAGCCGACACGAAAATTTCATTCATTGCCAAAAGATGTTTAGAGGTAAATATGTACTTTTGAAAATATTTTATTTTTTTCACAACTATTGTTAAAATATTTAAGCATGTAATTAATAATTATCAATAAATAAATAAATTATCTTTAAATTTTTTTATTTTTATTTCAATATTAATAAATTTAACACATATTTCATATGAATCGGTAATAAAACCTTTTTTTTTCTTTATAAATTACTTTATTTCTATGTATCAGTTAGTGATACTGTGTATCTACCTTTTGCTTTCATACATTCGAATTTTTTACCTAACTTTAGTAAAATGAAAAATAAATTTTGTTATTATCAAAATAAAAATAACAAAATTTTTACCTAACTTAATTTAATTTTATTTCAGTTCAATGTTTTTGATACACCCGTTTGTTTACAATATTCTGTTTCTTTCTTGCCTGCACAACTCTTATTACTATCTATTTCTAAATAAAAATGGAAAAATTTGGAAGCAAAATGCAAACGAAAACTAACGTAATGCAACGTGTCGAACTATTTATTATAGATATACTTCGTTTTTAATTTATATAAAACACATTAAAAAATAACTACTAAATTCAGAAGTTTGGGCTGATAAGGTCTGAGTGTGCCGCCAAAACATGTAATAACTTGAAAGTATAAATATTTGGTTATAAAAACCCAAAACCTCATAGATTATTTATGTAGAATAAAAGTTTTTCAAATTATTTTCTCTATTTCCTAGAACCTCCTAAACAAAAAATCAGAACAAAAACTTAAACTCTTTTTCAATAGTTTTGCTCTTCTTGATTTGTATGATAGGATGCGAAAACACAAAAACAAAAAATATAAGAAGTAAGAATAACAAGTAAAAACGTTTCAGTCGGTATAAACCGATTAAATTATACCCTGCACCTTTCGTTGTTGTATAGCAATTACTCAAACCTGTGAAACCAAAATTTCAACCAAAAGACAAAAGACGAATTTAGAGCAATTCAACCAAAACTTCACAAATATATCTGACCTATAACTCGACACACAACTGCCAAGGTTCATGAATCTGACTTTATTATTTTTCCAAATATTTAAAATAAGCTTTTGGAGTTGTATGGCAAGTACCCGAACCTGTATCCCATTATAATTTTTAGAGCATGTGTAGAATATTGGACACATGTATACAAAATTTTATACTTATAGCTTTATTAGTTTTTGAAATAATAGGGCTCGTCCAAGGCACAAAAGAAAAAACTTACGAAAGTTTGGTGTCGATTGCATTATTCGTTTTTGAGTTATCGTGCGATCGGATGGACGGACGGACGGACAAGATATATATATATATGTCCATACCGCAGATGACTCCTTCAAGTAGTTACAAACACCATACCAAAGTTAATATGCACTTCGTGAAGGGTAAAAAAAAAAAGAGACATTAACTAATGCATATTACTAACTAATGCCATATACAATATCTATGTAAGGAATTACAATATCAACGTATTAGAAATACTTAAGGAAGGAGCATCTTGAAAAAACAATGAAGCTAAATTTTTCTTGTTGTCTCTTTCTTTGCTCCGAGCATTGTCAAAGTCGTAACAGGAGCGTTTTTATTCTATTTTCTTATCTGGGCTTTACTGTAAAATTTGTAATTTGTAAGAAGAATGAGTCAAAATCTTTTTCAAAGTAAAAACTAAAAAATATTTTAAAAATATTTTTT